TGTTTTTCACTGTAATCCTGTTGATTGCTCTGTTGTTAACACACATACGCCAAGAGCTATCTTTCTTCGGCACCAACAGGGCAAGGACTGCACATGGGCTCATACTTTTACAGATGTAGCCCCTCTCCAATAACTCTACCAACTGTCGCTGCAACTTTTCAGATTCCCTGGGACTGAGGTGATAGGCCGGTCGATTAGGCAAGCTCGACCCTGGAACAAGGTTAATATAATGCTGAATATCCCTTATTAGCGATAGCCCAGGAGGAAGATTCTCTGGCATTAGGTCAGAAAACTCTACTAGCAGCTGTTGCACCTCTACTGGTAAATCTGGGTCCACGCCTGCTGTACTATTCCCACAAGGTAGTAGAGCATAGACCATGTATCCATGCTTAATCTCCAGTAAAAACCTAGACATAGAAAGCAGGTTAGAATTATTGGCCACCGGGGTAGGAATGGTTCCTTCCCGACAAGGCGCCAACACAATCTTCTTCCCTTTGATGCTAAGGGAATATGTATTTTTCCGTCCATCATGAATAACACTGCGATTGCACTGTCAAGGTCTGCCTAATAGTACATGACAAACATCCATAGCCACAACATCACACCAAGCATTATCAAAATATTGCTTGCCGATCGAAAAAGACACTAAGCCTCGCCTATCTACTGTTACCCCACTTCCTTTATTCAGCCATGACAATTTGTATGGCTTGGGATAACGATCTATTTTCAACTGTAATTTTTTGGACAGTATCTTTAGACACTACGTTCTCACAACTGCCACTATCAATGATCATCTTGCAAACTTTATCTGCAACTGTGCAAGTTGTGTGAAAAATATTGGTTCTCAACCAATCGTCCCCTGAATCGCCATTGGGAGTCAGTAGACTCTTGCGAACGACCAAAAGTCTCATGGCCATCTCCATAAAACACATCTCCATCTTCATCATCATCATACACAGGCTTTCCAACCTTAGTTTCATCTACCACGTCTTCCTCAATCAGGACATTTTTGCCCTTCGGACTGGCAGGTTTCCTGCACTCAATCGCTCTATGTCTCTGTTCCCCACATCTGAAGCATCTAATATTAGGGTTAGAATTACCTTATGATTGCTGTTGGGTAGGACGGGATTCTTGAGGGCGAACTGGTCGACTGTTTTGATCACTTCTAATCACTGGCCTCATGTTTTGCTATTTTTCCACAACAATTGCACGTTGGTATGCTTCAGAAACGGTCCACAGCGAGTGGAGACTGAGGACATCTTGTAGGGGCTGCCGTAATCCCCCCAAATATCGTGCCACTATCTACTCTTCTGTCTCAGATAAATCGTTCTGGGCTATCAATTGATAGAACTCCTCTGTGTAATCATCAACCAATCTCGTGTCTTGCCTCAACGAATGAAGTCACTGAAACAAGGTTTGAGTGTAGGCGAAAGGAAGGAAGTGTCCCTTAATCTTCTTCTTCATCTTCTCCCAATCAGTGATCTTGGTTTTGCCTTGCCTCTCTTGTGATCGCCTCAACTATTCCCACCACACAGATGCTCTGCCTTTGAGTTTGATAGCGACCAGTTTCACTTTGACATGATCTGAGACTTCCTTATAATCAAAAATTCACTCCACTTCATTCAACCAATCGATGAATCCCTCGGCCTGTAACGTACCAAAAAACTCGGCCAGATCCACTCTAAAATCGAGGTCTCCACGACCATCCTCTCGACCATGGTGCTCCCAGAATTGAGCATGATTGTGATACGGGTTTTCAAAACTAGATTCGAAACCGTGATCTTCCATCTCACGATCACCAAATCCTACACCGTTAGACACTGAATTAACTCTGCAACTTGCCTCTGCAAATCCTCAATCATTACATTCTGAACGCTACGATCACGATGCAGGACTTCCTCGTTTAGAACCTACCCACGACGACCACGACCACCAGCCATTGAACTGGTGAAATCTCACCTCAAGAAGATGTTGAAGCTCTGATACCAACTGAAGTCGGACAGAATAACGATTATTCTGCAAGCTAGTTTCAATAGATAATTCATAGAGAAAAACAGAAGAGAATCGTCCAAAAAGCACTAACTAAGCAACCACAATCTTTATAAAATTAGAATAATGATAGTTAACCCTAAAACACATGAAAAAATCCTTTAAATACTAAACAATAAGCTGAAAACCCTAATTACGCAAGGAATAATTAAATTACAAAAAAAATTCAAATAAACTCAAAACTTGAAAAAAAATTCGGAAGGCCCAAACACACATTTTCAGGCCTTTTTTGGCTTTAAACAGTGCCTCTCACCACCGTAGGTTGTGAGTCTTGTAGGGCTCGTCGAGAATTTTGATTTGATATATTATGGGCCTTGAAAACTCCAAACGGATCAAAAGTTATGATCAAAACAGTGTCAACCCTTCTTAGACTTGGATTTCTGACTGTGCTGACTTGCTAACTCAAAGTATATTAGCGCCATCAACGTGCCATATGATAATTCAGCATCATCTGACTCGAATCCCCCTGCATCAAGATTGCACCAACCCAGCATTACTCACTTTGCTCGTATGGCCGTATGGAGCATCAATGTGAGTATCTTGATGTTGTTCGCCTTCTTATTGGCTTTAAACTTGAGTATAAGTCTATTTGTGCACAAATTTTAGCAAGTCATACTCTTCCTTCCCTACCAGATATGTTTTCCCGCTTATAGCGCGCTACTTTGTCAGATGAAAATTCTACTTCAGGCATTGATCATGGTTCTTCTGTTGATCTCTCAGTATTAGTTATCTTTAATGGTAATATTGGTGGTACTCGAGGTGGTCATGGTAATCGCAACAGTCAGGGTGGTTGTGATTCTTGAGGGGGGTGTAGTAAAGGTCATTGAGGTACTCGTTTATGTATTCATTGTGGTTGTCCGAACTACACTGTGGATTATTGTTGGGATTTACATGGGTAGCCATCTGGTGTTGCCAATCAAGTCTGCTATCTAGTGGATATCCTCACATTGTCTGCATAATCATCATGTTTAACCCTCCAGACTCTGAGTTAGTTACTATTACCCAGGTAGTACCATCTTCCTCCACTGTTACTTTTTTCCAGTCGGGTACTATTTTCACTTGTTTATTGTCCTCCACTCGTAGTCCCTGATTCATAGATTTTGGCGTTTTTAATCACATGACTGGTTCATCTAGTGTATTCTTTACTTATCATTATGTTCTTCCCCCTCATAATGTCACTCTTGCTAATGGTAATTCGTCGAAGGTTTCAGATTTGGGGACTACTCAATTGAGTCTCAATATGTCCTTATCATTTATTCTATGTTCTTCAATTCCCTTTCAGTTTGCTTTTTATGAGCAAGATTACTTGTTCACTTAATTGTTCAGTAACCTTTTATCTCGCTTATTGTGTGTTTTAGATCAATAGATGAAGAGGAAGATTGGTACGGGGCATAAATTTGGTGGTCTCTACTACTTTGACCTTGATCCATCTCCTTGCATTTTAGATGTCATCATCTCCAGTTCAGTGGCATTGTCGTCTTGGTCATGTATCTCTTCAGAAATTGAAGCATCAAATTTTAGTCTTAGCTCTGTGTCATTTACGTCTTGTGAAGCTTGTTAACTTAGAAAGTATCATCGTTTATTTTTTCAGTGTAGAGTTAATAATCTTATGTCTAGTCCATTTGAGTTAGTTCATTCTGATATATAAGGTCCAATAAAAAATATTTCATATAATAATTTTTTTTATTATTTTGTGACATTTGTGGATGATTATTTTCGTATGACTTAGTTAATTTTTATGAAATCTTGTTTTGAATTGTTTTCTATATTTGAGAAGTTTCGTAAGAAAATCAAAAACTCAATATAGTTGTCATATTTGAATTTTATGTTCTGATAATGCTCGTGAATATGATTTTGACCAATTTCTACTTATCTTTGTAAAACTAGCATTATTCATCAAACTTCATGTGTCCATATCCCTTTGGTATTAAATCGCACTCGTCTTCGAGTCATTTGTTTTAAGCTTGGATTATATAACATATATATATTCTAGCTTGAAGGGAAGTGTTGAAAGTATTAGCTTTATATTATCATTTTATGATTGTAATAATTATGCCACTCTAAGGGTATACTGGTCTTTTATGTTCTCATTAGGTAACTATAAACATAAGTTGAGGGTGAGACGTTGGGTATCACAAAGTACAAACACTCCTTTCCACCTCCCTCATTATTTTTCTTTTATTCTTTGTTTTGTATTTTCTAAACTTCACATACTGCTTATCCATAGCTAAAAGAAGAGTAGCTAACACTGCTGAACTCTATGTTTTCGGTGCTATTGGGCACCACACTACCTTCCAATGTCAACTCATGACAAATCTAATGAATGTGGTTGGGAACATGATGTGGGAAATCACTGCTGAAGTGTACTAAAACCAAGGTACTAAGTATTTACCAATACAAGTTGGCGTAGTCGTGTGAGACTTGAGGTTTATATGTAATGTATAATGGTATCAACATGGAAAGTACCAAGTCGTATAGCCATCCAAGTGATCTTTGAATCAATCTTGAGTTGTCTAGTTGTCGCCACCGAATCGGTCGATACGGCTCCACGACGCCGAATCACTTGTTATGTTCAACCTATTCTTTTAGGTAGTATCGACCGATATCGCACCACGACCGATGTGTCTCTGAGCCTTCTGAGTTGATGACCAATATCGCAACCTTGAACTATGACTAAAATAGAGCGAGACAATGAGATTATAAGGGAGGAACTATAGTTGAAGAGTTTTACCCTAAAAGATTTAATGTATTGGTGAACTCTTTTCCTAATTATTTAGGAATTTGTTAAATTGGAAAATTTCCTTTCCTGAACTTCTCTGTGGAACAGACCTTTGGAATGGTTCCCATGACATTTCGGGGAAATTTCTCCATGTAGTGGAGGATAATTCTGAAGATGCAAGTTATCATGGAGGGTTCAGCTTTCAAATATTGATGGACAGTAGTAGAGGAAAATGTGTCTTTGCCGTCATCTGCATATGTTTCTCACAGTAAATAGCTATCCATCTGGTTATGGATTCACGAACGTTTTCCCTGTCACCTATCCTGATGAAGTTCAGATTTCTCGGTTCTGATGGCCAATGGAATGTTCTATCTGTTTGAGTTCGCTATGGTTTACTGGCCAGTTGCTTTGTTAAAGCGATAGTCCAACAACCTAACTGTTGAATCATTAAAGTTTATCTTATTGATCTCTTTTACGATAATATAGGTGATATTACTCTTTTTGAGGTCCTAATACATATTGAATTAAACAGTGTCAGAGCCATGGATAACTGCATGAAGCTATTTTCTGCATTTGAGCAAAAATATTTTTTGCCCATTTTGTTGTTATTGTATCGAATGCACGGATGACTGGATATCTAGTTGTATTCATACATCGGTATTGTTTGTGGATGAATTCAGAACTGGTGGATATTTATGTCTCTTAAATAGAATTAGAAAAACCATTTGAAGCTGGGTATAATAGAATTGATTTTTCTGGTATGATATAATATAGGATCCATACTGAGACGATCACCAACTGTCAACCTGAGACAAGGTTAAAAAAAGGAACAAAATTTCCATCATTTGATCTTTGCAAGAGTAATAGATTTTATATTATGTCATGCTAATATTATACGATTGTTGTTACATGTAAAGAAAGCTTGTATCCCCGATTAATTTAGGTCCATCCAAAGTTGGTTATATGGTTGAGATGTATTTTATCAGTTGTATATGTATTATATTTTTTATACAGGGTAATTTTTTTTTTTGATGCTCTATCATTAAATCCAAAACCTGAATTCTGCTGACTAGCAACACAGATTTCCTGTGATCAACTTCTGATGTTATCATAGATTTTCAGATTGCTAGTGAAGATGCTATTGAAATTGCTAAGCTTCTTGCATTGAAAGAAGGATTGCTGGTACGTTCCCAATGAGTTAAAGACTCTTTTCATAATCATTTTTACATTTTTAACACTCCTTCTCTGTTGGTGACCACATGATTTCATGGTTGCTGGTTATGCATATTCTTCATACTGTTGTAATGCATGCGTTTGATGTTTTCAAATTTTTAGTGTTTTGAGGGTGCTTTTGCAGGTGGGCATTTCTTCTGGGGCGACGGCTGCTGCGGCAATAAAGATAGCAAAGAGGCCAAAAAATGCTGGGAAACTCGTTGTTGTAAGTTTTTTCTCTTTCATCCTATGTTGTCAGCCAAAAAAAAGCCATTATGGCTTTTTCGTTGTGTTTAATTCTCTTACCTAACATCTTTATGTCCAAAGATTGGGAAGACTCCTGATGATATCGATATTATTATTGCGACCATGACCCTATTTTGAACCAAGTGATACATGAAATTTTTCCGTTTTCTGTTTTTCTAGTATAGTGATTCAGGGATACAAAAAAAAAATCACTCTTTCTTTGTGTATCGAATACGCACACGACACTCTGAATCCACAGAGAAATAAAAGAAAACTCTAAAATATAATATTTCATAGTACATATGAAGCAAATATATAGGAACGGCCAAAAGTCTAAATACTCCTAAAATTGAAGAAAATCCCTTATTCTACAAAACTTGCCAGAAATGTAAAGTTACAAATCTAATTGATTGACATAAAAGTGAAAACTTTGGTCACATAATTTAGAAGACAGGAAAGAAATAGAAGAAGGTGAGAATATTATTCGTGCTAATAAGTTTGTTATAACTCAACCAAAACTACACTACACAATAGAGATTCTTATATAGTAGGAAAAAACAGAATTAAGTAANGCATGAAGCTATTTTCTGCATTTGAGCAAAAATATTTTTTGCCCATTTTGTTGTTATTGTATCGAATGCACGGATGACTGGATATCTAGTTGTATTCATACATCGGTATTGTTTGTGGATGAATTCAGAACTGGTGGATATTTATGTCTCTTAAATAGAATTAGAAAAACCATTTGAAGCTGGGTATAATAGAATTGATTTTTCTGGTATGATATAATATAGGATCCATACTGAGACGATCACCAACTGTCAACCTGAGACAAGGTTAAAAAAAGGAACAAAATTTCCATCATTTGATCTTTGCAAGAGTAATAGATTTTATATTATGTCATGCTAATATTATACGATTGTTGTTACATGTAAAGAAAGCTTGTATCCCCGATTAATTTAGGTCCATCCAAAGTTGGTTATATGGTTGAGATGTATTTTATCAGTTGTATATGTATTATATTTTTTATACAGGGTAATTTTTTTTTTTGATGCTCTATCATTAAATCCAAAACCTGAATTCTGCTGACTAGCAACACAGATTTCCTGTGATCAACTTCTGATGTTATCATAGATTTTCAGATTGCTAGTGAAGATGCTATTGAAATTGCTAAGCTTCTTGCATTGAAAGAAGGATTGCTGGTACGTTCCCAATGAGTTAAAGACTCTTTTCATAATCATTTTTACATTTTTAACACTCCTTCTCTGTTGGTGACCACATGATTTCATGGTTGCTGGTTATGCATATTCTTCATACTGTTGTAATGCATGCGTTTGATGTTTTCAAATTTTTAGTGTTTTGAGGGTGCTTTTGCAGGTGGGCATTTCTTCTGGGGCGACGGCTGCTGCGGCAATAAAGATAGCAAAGAGGCCAAAAAATGCTGGGAAACTCGTTGTTGTAAGTTTTTTCTCTTTCATCCTATGTTGTCAGCCAAAAAAAAGCCATTATGGCTTTTTCGTTGTGTTTAATTCTCTTACCTAACATCTTTATGTCCAAAGATTGGGAAGACTCCTGATGATATCGATATTATTATTGCGACCATGACCCTATTTTGAACCAAGTGATACATGAAATTTTTCCGTTTTCTGTTTTTCTAGTATAGTGATTCAGGGATACAAAAAAAAAATCACTCTTTCTTTGTGTATCGAATACGCACACGACACTCTGAATCCACAGAGAAATAAAAGAAAACTCTAAAATATAATATTTCATAGTACATATGAAGCAAATATATAGGAACGGCCAAAAGTCTAAATACTCCTAAAATTGAAGAAAATCCCTTATTCTACAAAACTTGCCAGAAATGTAAAGTTACAAATCTAATTGATTGACATAAAAGTGAAAACTTTGGTCACATAATTTAGAAGACAGGAAAGAAATAGAAGAAGGTGAGAATATTATTCGTGCTAATAAGTTTGTTATAACTCAACCAAAACTACACTACACAATAGAGATTCTTATATAGTAGGAAAAAACAGAATTAAGTAAATCACTAAACTACCCTTATTCTAAATATACTATGATACTCTAACACACTCCTCAAACTCATGATGTGGTAGAAATTATCAAGAGTTTATCTATAAGAAAATGAAAGCATGCAACGGTGTAAGATTTCATAAAGAAATTAGCTAACTGCATAGTTGAAGGAAAAAAGGGAAAGACGATGGCGTACAAAGTGACAATCAATCTCAATATACTTTGTACTCTCATGAAAGGCTAAGTTATGAGCAATCTGAATATCACTGATATTGTCACCATACATAGGGGTATAAGTAGATAGTGAAATGCCAAAATCAGCAAGTAGCTATTGTAATCAGACTATCTTAGCTGTCATAGATGACATTACACGATACTCAGCTTCAGTAGATGAACGAGTAACTACAATTTTCTTTTTGCTTTTCCAAGAAATAAGAGAATCATCAAGAAAAAAATAAAAACCAATGGTGAACTTACGATCCATAAAGTCACCAACCCAATCAACATCTAAATAAGTCCTAAGTTCTATAAAGGAGGATGAAGAAAATAGTAGAGTTTGGTGCAGATTACCTCGAAGGTATTGAAGAATATAGAGAATAGCTGCCTAGTGAACTGTAATAGGTGATGCAAAAAATTGACCAACTATATGGAGAACATAAAAAATATCTGAGCGAGTAACTATAAAATATATCAGACTCTCAACAATAGTGTGATATAGTGTAGGATCAGGTAAGAAGGTACTATTATAGGCAAAATAACAAACATTGAGCTTTAAAGGTGTTTCAACTGTCCAATTATTTGATAAGTGAGTTCGCTGAATTACATCTGATGTATATTTAGACTGAGAGGAAGATAACATTTGGGAGAGCAAGGAGCTTCAATCTCTAATAAATACCGAAGTTGGCTCAAATCTTTCATTTTAAAATGATTTTATAACTGACTTTTCAATAGCCTTATTCCAGCAGGGTCATCACATGTAATGATTATATCATTAACATAGAATAAGAGAACAATAGAGTTAGAGGAAGTGGATCGTAAAAAGAGAGCAACATTGTGATCACTGACACGAAAATCCAAGTCATAGATGACAAAAGAGAATTTGGTAAACCATGCTCTAGGAGCCTGTTTAAGACCATATAAAATCTTATGAAGTCCCTCTACTTGATCAGGACTATGAGACAATCCAAGAGGAGTCATAAAAATGTCTTCAAATTAATCTCTGTGGAGAAAGGTATTTCTTACATCATCTAAGACAAGTTCCATTGACAAATAGCAGTCATTGCAATCCCAGTAGTCATCTTGGCAACAAGAGTAAAAGTCTTATTAGAGTCTAACCGATACTCCTGAGCAAATCTCTTAACTACTAATCCAGCTTTATACCATTCTACAGAACCATCAGATTTAGTTTTGATCTTATAAACTCACTTACAATCAATGGTATGGTTATCAAGGGTTAAAGACACTAATTCTCGAGATCAAGTCATATGTAAGGCAGCTAACTCCTCATCCATGGCCTGTTGCCAAATAGGATCAAGTATAGCCTTCTTGTAGGAGGCAGACTCAGATAGAGAATGAATAGAGGTGATAAAAGAACAAATATCAGAAGAATAACAAGAGTTGGAGAAACTAAACCTCTCTGGATATTTTTGAGAGAGCTGAGGATAACGTTGAGTATGATCCACATTATCAGAACTTGATTGAGTGGCAGTAGACTGGGAGGGAGTCACCGCATCTATAGAAGGGACAATTGGAATCTTGTGAGCATAGGTATGTATAATAGGAGGATGGCTAACATGCAAATCAGAAGGGGAAGGCATATCAAACACATTCATGTCACTCACATAAGTGTCAAAGGGAATATCAACTAGAAATGAGTTAATGTAAATGAGATCAGATTTTTTCAAGTGTGAAGAACTAGATGGAATAGAAATGACGGAAATATGCTCCATGAAAATAACATGACGAGAGACACAGACTTTGTAATAGGATTATAGCAATGATACCATTTTTGACCCTGACCATAACCAAAACAACACATAAAGTTGAACGAGTATAAGGTTTAGTATGAAGAACACTAGGGAACAAAACAAACACATCCAAATACTCATAAAGAGAAATAATCTGGTGGCTTATCCAGGGATCAAAATATCATTTCAAAACGGTTGAAACATCTGAAACGTTTCTATTTTCAAAGAGACCGAAACAAATTAGTGATGAAATCGAACTTCTAATAATTCCAAATGTTTCACAATGTATTGCTATATGACAATGCATTTGTATATTTATTTTAGAATGTTTCAAGATATTTTAAGATATTTTGATATATCGACTAATGTTTTGAAAAAATGATTCTTAAATGTTTTGAAAAAATGATTCTTAAATTTTTTATTTTTTTTTCTCATTATGTTTTTGAAACAGATCAAAACATTTACGAAACACGTTGAAATGCTTCCATTTCTTAGGTGACCAAAACAATACACGGAAACGAAATTTTGATCCTTAGGCTTATCACGTAAGTTTTCAAAAGGAGTGACTCCAGAAATGAGGATTGTGGGGATGCAGTTAATCAAATAAATTGTAATAAGAACTGTTCCCCCCTCCCCTCCTCCCTACCCAAAAAAAAAAAAAAAAGAACTAGGGATATTGGCAGACATCAAGAGAGAGCACACTGTCTCCATAATGTGCTCGTGATTACGCTCTGCAATACCATTTTGTTCAAGTGTGTAAGTACCGAAAGATTGACAAACATTACCATCAAATTTTAAGAAGTCATGAAATGAATTAAATGAGTATTCTCCTCCTTGATCACAATGAAAGCATTTAATAACAAAAGAATATTGAGTATGAATCATGGCCCAAAAAGTAGTGAATATAGAAAAGAATTATGAGCAATGCTTCATTAGGTATACCCAACAGTACCGGGTATAGTATTTAGTGAAAGAGATATAATATTTGATCCCTCCTGTGGAGATAGGTGCAAGTCCCCATAAATCAGAGTGGACAAGATCAAAGGATGCAATAGAACTAGTAAGACTCTTATGATCTATATATAGTAGAGCAAAACATAATAAAGTTAATCACTAAACTACCCTTATTTTAAATATACTATAATACTCTAACAAAAAGCACATGTCATCTAGAGTCTAGGAAAAATGGCGCCAAAAATTGAAACTTTCCATGGTTTATTATTGATTTTCTATTTCTTTCTTAAAACGATAAAAACATTTATTTGGGGGCCTAAATGATCGAATTTGTCACAACTTATTTTACATTATATAACTAGTTGAAAGTGTCATCAAGTTTTCATGCAGTTAAGTTTATTGATTATGCAAATCTTGGCGTAGTGTCATTTAGTCTATCAATAATCATTGGCTGATTTTGGGGACAAAATCCTCGAGTACTCAAAGAGGCATCACTCAAGAAGAAACACCATATGAAGTTGGTCTGTCCTTGGGTTTTCATAGGCTAAGTCAGAATTTCCAAGAGCGGATGTTGGTTTAGAATACCTACTTATCTTTCTCTCCAATTGACAAATCATGTGTCCCGAAATGCAATAGGTCAAACAAGGAACTATTTGGAATACTCGCTATCATGTGAAGATGTAATGTTCTTTTAATTTGTAAACATGGGTTTCCACATGTTAGGGTTTTCCATTGTTTTAAGTTGGAATCTTTTAACACGTTTGGGGTTGATTACAGAATGCCCCCCCTCCAAATTTGGGTCCTATTGCATTCAGCTCCTCTGGTTTCAATGTAAAGAATTTGTCCCTTTCAAGTTTTCTTAGGATTAAATTAACTGACATAGTGGATTGAAAATATAAAAGTCTTAAAATAGCCCGTCGACCATAATCTTTATTTGGGATTAATTACAAATGCCTTTCCAAGATTTGGTTGAGTTGCAATCAGCTCCCTATGGTTTCAATTTAAACAATCTTTTTGTTGTTTTCATTCTTTCTGTCTAATTTCTTCTACTTTGGAATTTGGCTCATTTATAATCACAATGTTGGGTAGAGTTTAGATAGTACTTTTGTGATCGTATGATATTTTCAGAAGGGCCTATAAATTGGCATTTTGGAGATAAACAAGATGCTATTTGAAAGAATAATTCGAAGTTTGGTACATTGTTGAGCAGACTCTCCCCCCTCCTTTCTTGTCTGTTCTCGTACTCTTTCTTTGGTGTCTCTTGCATGCTAAGGCATCAAATTTCTCCATTTCTTCTCTGCCATTTTGTCTTTCAGTCACGTTCGCATAATCCTAATAGCAAAACGAAAAATTTTCAAGTTTATTTTATTATCTGGCCGGAGCTCAACTATTGCACTAACATGTCCAGTTGAAACTGAACCATGGAACTACGTTAAGAACATTTATGATTTACATTGGGCATGAACACTCCAACTAGACCTGATTTTCGGCATTCCTCTG